AAATCGAAGAGAGGGTAAAGGAACAGTACCATTGCTGGATAATTGGAAAGTCCCTGTGTGTCAACCTCTGTGCTTCGTGGCAAGGTAGACTAGCAAACATGCCCAACCTTTACTCACATTCGAGAAAACACTCCCAACAAGATTGCTTGCTCCAAAATCGAAGAGGCACCGCCCTCCGAATCTCGAGAGCCAGACTCCCAACATGATTACTTTCTCAAAAATCGAAGAGACACTGCTCCCCGAATCTCGAGAGCCAGACCCCCAGCATGATTGCTTTCTCAAAAATCGATGAGGCATCGTTCTCCGAATCAATCGAAGAGGCGCTCGCTTTCTCAAAAGCTGGGCTGCTCAGAGACCACGAGGGCCGATCTCAGAAATCGAAGAGGCACCTACTTTTCTAGCCTTGTCAGCACCTGTCACACGCACACTCAGCTTTGCAGAAATTATGGGCATTCTGTCGAAGACTTCTGGTGAAGTAGAAAGCACATGAATCTTACTGTTCAATCACCCACTTCCCACACGCAACAATAGCTCATGGGTACCACAGATAACTTTGCCAAAGTTCTCTGCCAAAGTTGAGCACGTGAAGCTTGCAGCTCCCACTACATCGCTCTGACCAAGAAAGGTAAAAGAATAGCAAAGAAACAGCACTAACAAAAGTTTAGACACATAAATTTTGAAGGTCTAGCTACCATATTATTACCCACAAGGGTAAAGGAACAGTACCACTGCTGGATAATTGGAAAGTCCCTGTGTGTCAACCTCTGTGCTTCGTGGCAAGGTAGACTAGCAAACATGCCCAACCTTTACTCACATTCGAGAAAACCCTCCCAATAAGATTGCTTGCTCCAAAATCGAAGAGGCACCGTCCTCCGAATCTCGAGAGCCAGACTCCCAACATGACTACTTTCTCAAAATCGAAGAGAGGGTAAAGGAACAGTACCATTGCTGGATAATTGGAAAGTCCCTGTGTGTCAACCTTTGTGCTTCGTGGCAAGGTAGACTAGCAAACATGCCCAACCTTTACTCACATTCGAGACAACACTCCCAACAAGATTGCTTGCTCCAAAATCGAAGAGGCACCGCCCTCCGAATCTCGAGAGCCAGACTCCCAACATGATTACTTCCTCAAAAATCGAAGAGACACTGCTCTCCGAATCTCGAGAGTCAGACCCCCAGCATGATTGCTTTCTCAAAAATCGAAGAGGCATCGTTCTCTCTCCGAATCTCGAGAGCCAGATACCACAGACCACTTTTTCAAAGTGCTCTGACAGAGTTAAAACATGTGAAACTGGCAGCTCCCACTACCGTGCTATGACCAAGCAGGGTAAAGGAATAGCATTACTACTTGTTGTTAGGGAGACTCCTATATATGTCGACCTCCATCCCCAACGGACAGGCAGACCTGCAAAAAAATGCTCAACCCTTCATCATATCTGAGAGGGCACTCCCAACGAAGCCTTTCGAAATATTCAGCTTTCTTTCCCCCCGATAATACCTCTGCAAACAAGCTATACTAGAGCAAGAATATCTCATATCATCAGGGTTAAAAGCAAGAGTATCCCATATCATGCTTTTTCCCTGTCTTTTCTTTTGGCCTTGTTTTTTACCTGCAAGACAAGGAGAAAGAGAGCAATCAGTCAGCACTTGGAATCAAGCTTCCAGCCAGGAACTGACTGCCTGGAACCCCTTACCTGATTACTTACCTGGCATTGCTCTCGAGTACTCATCTTCAACATCTTATGTTTCCAGGGAAGATTCCGCATCTGCTTGAGGAACAGATAGGGCAAGTGCGAAGGATACAAGGAAGCATGTGGAGACAAGCGTAACAGCACACGTGCCGATACATCCATTACTCTGTCAAAAGCAAAAGTATCCCATATCAGCAGGGTGGAACGTACTCTAGATTTGATGGACTTGTTTTGACCCTCAAATTCTTCAGTCGGCCTTATACTCTGGAGGAAACCAGAAAACCCTCCAGCTCAGTTCAAGAATAAGCCTGTGGAAAGTTACTTCTTCAAAAGCAAAAGTATCTCTCATATCATCTCTTCTCATTTTTCTTCTCTTTATCCTTCATGCTGCTGCAAGATGGGGAGAAGGTGAACAATCAGTCGGAGCTCTGATTGCTTACCTTGTCTGTCACCTCTTTCAGCAGACCCCCTAGCTCGGCGACTTGGGGGACTCCTACTACATGGTTTGTATCGCGCTTGACCAAGCCTGAAACTACAAGTAAGCTTCAAGTGAAATTGATACATTACCTTGTGCATCTCCACCAGTTAAAGATACCACCCCTGGATGGAGGAAGAGTACTTCCAGAGAAGATGCCACATCTACCTATGAGACAGATAAGGCAAGTCAAGACGACACCACACTCCGATACTTAGAAGTTTCGTGATTACGAGATCATTCTCCCACAATATTTCCTAATGTCATTTGTACTAAATCATTCACTTGTACTCACTAAAGGAGAGCTTGAACCTATGTACTTGTGTAAACCCTTCACAATTAATGAGAACTCTTCTATTCCGTGGACGTAGCCAATCTGGGTGAACCACGTACATCTTGTGTTTGCTTTCCTATCTCTATCCATTTATATATACTTATCCACACTAATGACCGGAGCAATCTAGCGAGATCACAAAAAGCGACCGTTTTCGCTACCTAGGATCTATCTTGCAAGAGAACGGAGAATTAGATGGAGATCTCAACCATAGAATACGAGCTGGATGGAAAGAGTGCATCCGGCGTGTTGTGTGACCGTCGTAGGCCACTGAAGCTCAAGGGAAAATTTTATAGGACGGCAATAAGGCCAGCGATGTTGTATGGCACAGAATGTTGGGTGGTGAAGCATCAACACGTACACAAAATGGGTGTAGCGGAGATGAGGATGCTTCGTGGGATGTGTGGGCACACGAGAAAGGATAAGATTGGGAATGAGGATATCCGAGGTAAAGTAGGAGTAGCCGAAATTGTAGGAAATATGAGAGAAAATCGGCTCCGGTGATTTGGACATGTGCAAAGAAGGCCGACTGACGCTCCGGTTCGAAGATGTGACTACGGGACAGAGGTTCAGGGCCGAAGGGGTAGAGGAAGACCTAGGACAACTTTGGAAGAGACTCTAAGAAAAGACTTAGAGTACTTGGATCTAACGGAGGACATGACACAAAACCGAGCGCAATGGCGTTCTAGGATTCATATAGCCGACCCCACTTAGTGGGAAAAGGCTTTGTTGTTGTTGTTGTTGTTGTTGTAGCAAATTTTCGAAAAAAGGAAAAAGGAAAGAATGTGTCGTAAGTATGCTCATGCAATTTATTTTAGCATCGTGGTTCTGTTCTTTGTTTCCTTCTGAAGATTTTATACAGCTTGATTAACCGGTAATTTGGTAGGTACTATGAAGGTGGCATTTCTTCAGTTTATATGTGGGAGGATGATAACGAAGGTTTTGTCGGCTGCTTTTTAATCAAGAAAGGTATACTGCCTGAACTTTCTCCTAGGAGATGCAAAATTCAATTTATGTTCTGTTATATGTGTATTTGCTGATTTTTATTTTTTGAGGGGATTCAGATGGCTCCAAGACAGGGCAAGGTCGGAGAGGTTATCTGCAGGAGGGGCCATGGGATGCTATACATGTGATTGAGGTAAACTCTATTTGTCATGGTAGGAACAATGTACATCTGTGGTGAAGGTGTTCATGTAGTTCTGACACTCTCCCCCCTTTCACACTTCCACTAACTGTCATTCAGGAACCTTTTTTTTTTTACATAGGTGGGTCCGGAGGAGGAAGGAACAGCTCATTACCGTTTAACCAGCACTGTCATGCTGCCTTTGACTACTGATAATGAGTCATCAGGCACATTCACTTTGTCTGGATCAATTAGACGACACGTAATCACACTTTATTCTTTTTCAATCGAGGAATTTGATCTTCTGTACAATTTTGCTTGTCGAAACATTTTTTTGAGAGGTACAAATAAGTCGGTTCGGGGAGAAATGGTACTCTTCTCTCTTTTGATAGTTAAGAGAAAAACTTGATGTACGCCAATGAAAGTGCTGTGAAATCTCTGTGATTGTGTTATATTGTTGGAGCTGATATGGTTTAAATTAATTGAGCACAAGATTTGCTGTTTGAATGATCACTCAACATCTGTTTTTCTGTGCTGACCCTGCATGTACTATTTGTATGATATCCTGGGATGGATCAAGTACTCTTTCTTTTTGGCTTTGTAGATGAATATGCACCTCTCAATTCAAGAAGGCCATATTTGTAACATGGGAAGAATGATCGAAGAAATGGAGAGCAAGCTGAGAAATTCACTCGATCAGGTACTGTGCTTCCTTACATGCACACTTACGTTTCTACATCCTGCTCTACAGTTCCGTCTACACAATGTTTTGTCAAGTTATGGAACTAAGAGCCATCCATGACCGCTGAAAGCATTGGGTTACCACGTACTAGATGTCTCACTGGCACTTGAACCACTGTGCAGTTGTGACTAAACAGTAAGGTTTACAAAGGGCTTCGTATATTTATCGTTGGAATTTAAATTGTCATTGATCTGCTTATTGCAGGTTTATTTTGGGAAGACGAAAGAGATGGTTTGCACTTTACGACCACCATCTGAAGTAGTGATGAGACTTCCTGACAGCTGAACAAGGGGGAATACCAGTCACTCACTAGGTATTGGTTGTCAAACTTAAGCGATTAGGGTTCTGCTGTACTTTATGTCATTATCTAGTTTTTGAAATGTTCTGTTGTTTTGAATTGTACCACTTGGTGGCCTTGTGCCATTGCACAGTAGAGAAGATGGCCGGTTTGTGAATCGAAAACGCCTCGTGGATTTTGTATTTTCATACTCATTATCAATTGTGTTCTTGAGTTAGTAAAATCATATTTAGCCATTAACCTTGTTTGTCAAGTTATTTGATATTAAGCAAAATCATATTATCCCATTAACCCTAAACCATGTACAATACGCCAAGCCAAAATAACAAACCCTAGCTAAATCAATCAAGTAGGTTGCTACTGTAACCATACAAAAACCAACGTCGTATTAACATTTCCACAAGCAAGGCTAGAGAGCTTGAGGCACCTCTGGTTATCGATTCTTTCTAGTTTTGTTAATTTGTAATGGAATCTAAGGATTAATGGCTCGTTCTTGAAGTCTTTCGCAGATCGAAAAAGTGGAAGACCGATGAATGATGCTGCACATTGATCCTATTAATGAAATTGTATGGATCATCCATAACATCATGAAGTGACATGAAAGCGGGAGTAGAAATCGAATCAGCAGCCACCAATTTATCATCAGTTTTTCTTGGAATCTTCTTCTTAGCTCTTGGTTGCGCTGCAGTATCATCACAGTCGCCGCCAGCAGAAGCAACGACAGTAGCCTGAAACTTTTCCTTCCTCTTTGGTCCTATCACTCTTTCGGAGTCGGCAGCTCATCACCATCATTGCCAACGGCAGATATGGATAGTCTTTGAGGCTGTATTCATACATAATCCAGGAACCCTCTTGCCAAGAAGTCGATTCTCGCTGCTCTTGTAGTCAAATCTTTTGGTATGGCCCAAAATAACGATGTTTCCCTCCGTCGTCGCCCCCATCTCTTCCTTTTCTTCTCTTTCTTAAGAATGGTCAATTTCTGGAATCCTGAAATATATCCGGATGAGTAATTCATTCATGTGATGGCAATCTGTAAATGTTTCGTAACGGGGAAGTATCTCTCTGGTTTTTTGTTGCAAATAATCAGTTTTTGGTTGTGTTTTAATTAAGGACAATATTTATTTGTTGTTTGAATGATCACCCTGCCCAGCATGGACTATTTGTCTCGCATCCTGGGCTTGAACTGAGTTGGTTTGTACTGTGTCTCGTCATTTTTTACTTTTTGAAAAACAATTAAGTTTGGTGGCCGGAACATCGTTGTAGCTGCTGCAGCTGTTGTTGTTGTTGGTGTTATAGTCGGAGGAAGTGCTCTGCTGATCCGGTTCCTCGTCGGCAGCTCAGTCCTTGCTCTGCTTGCTCCTTCAGCTTCAGTGCTGCAATCTGATAAATTAAAGCCATCAAGTGACTGTGAGTACTTGTTTTTCACTTGCTTTTCTATCACAACTTCTACCTTCATTTCTCCAATAACTCAACAAATACATAATTGTTTACGTATATACCTCATTTTCTATGAGACGCTTCTCTTCTTTCAGCTGTTTTTCCTGTTCAGAAATAGAGCCATGCATGATACACCAAATTCAAATCAAAACTCTGTCCAAATCACTCCACAAATATTTAAACCATCTGAATATGTAAATATATATGGCACCAGCAGAAATGCAGTGATCAAGTGATCAGACAACTGAGTATATAAGAAAAATATTAGTGAACCACTATAGTTGATTTTAATCTACACTTTCCCCTCCCCTTCTCCCAAACCACAAAAATAATGAAACAACAAAAATGCAAGTCCCTGCAAGAACCGTGAGTTCGGGGGAGGGCATATCACAGTACACATGGACCGCTGATCAACGTATGTGTAATGTGGATATGCCCTCAAAGAGAATGCAAATGGCAATAGAATAGAATTAGAACTCCTTCCATTATCAGAGAAAGAACAGATGATGTCAGAGAGAGAGAATGCATACCGTCTCGATAAGAGCTGTAAGGTTTTCCATCATCAGCTGTGTCTGCATTATCAGTACTACTCAAGTGAGTTTTTACCACCAATCTATTAGACTTACTGTACTTCCAATACACGACACAAACTATATAAACACTTCATGTATCTGTTACTACTGTGTGGTTATTTCAATGATAATCGAGTGACTTGAACCGATTTTTTCTTTCTTCATATTCCTAGTTATTTATGACACAGGAACACCATCGAATTTGTATTAGTGCACATATATGTTAATCTCTGGAATTACTGAAATGATCAAATATCAGTAAACTTGTGTCGTAAAACACTGATCACCGTTGTTACACATGAAATTACAGTTTCATGGATGAATCATATATTTTGTAGCTTAAACTTCACTCAAAACATGAAGAAAATACCTTGATATCATGGAAACAACAGAACTTACCAACTTCAAAACTCAAGGACAAAACATAACAAAGGAGAACAGACATTTCAAACATTACTGATCTTCGACACAATCCCAGCTAGAAAAAGAAGCTCTGTATGCAGGTTTATATTCCGAAAATAGGTACTTCACTTAATTGAAAGATCCATTGAAACCAGTCTAAGTGAAACCAGAATATGAACTAATTAATAATGGTCTGAGCATAAAGAAACAACCTTTCTCGATCTTGTTTGTCTTAAAAGTGCATCTAATTCCTCTTCAAGCTGGGTGAGCTCTGGAACATCTAGATTTTCAAGGTCTTGTGCCTCCCTACCACTGCAAACACATAATCAGATCCCGGTCACGTGGGTGAAGGTAACGAAGCTTCTGTACATGATACTTACCTTTGAATCATTTTCGGAGATCGGTTAGCGCCTGCGCGGAGATCACTACATTCCGAATTATGCTTCTGCACCCGAGATTAGCAGAATGTGAGAAGAGACGATAGGCTGCAAGTATTGCTACTGGTGTTTGTAATTATTTCGACACTGATACAAAACATGAAGTCCTAACAATTACAGTATATTGAAGTTATTAATCCAATCTTCTGGGGGTAGCCCAGATGGTGCCTGGCAGGTGTCTTTGATGCTAACCTTGTCAGTACCACCAGCATTCTTGGAAGCACCAATTTCCTCTTCACTATGCATCTGGTAACGCTCCAGAAGCTTTCCCAAACTGAAGTAGATAATTATGTGCATTAATTATGAAAGAAATAAACCATCCATGATATACTTACAGTAGCGGCTCCTCTCGTGTGGAGAATAAGAGTCTATCTAACATGTGAAAAACGTACTGAGTGATGATTGGACTTCATGATAACATACTCAAGTACCAATTGATTTTTCGTTAAGGGCTTAAAAGAACTTGGTGTTTCCACGTATTTCTAATTGATTTTTCATATCTACCATGGTATCAGAGCTAAGGTGAATACATATCTTGAACTGAAACACAATAGAAAACAATAGGGACCAAAACTGAATAAAATTGAAACTACAGGGATAGAAGTAGAATTTTGTGCAAACTACATGGACTACATGTAGTTTTTCCTCGAAAGAATGGCATTTTGTTTTTCATACACTTTCTTTATTTATTTCTCTTTTCTTTTTCTTTTTTATGGGAGCTCTTTTTTGTATTCTTCTTGTTGATGTAGGCTTAAAGTTGTCCTCCTGGGCGCTGCTCGCTTTCTCTCTCTAGATTTTGAGAATGTTTTTGCTCACCATTCTCAAGTGATTGTGATGCTTACCAACTTATTTATCATCGTTCAATAAGCTTGTATTTCGAAACTTATATAGTGGATAGACACAAAATTTAAATTTAAGCTCATCTAACGATGATAAATAGGCTAGTGAGCAAAAATGCACCCGTGAATGTAAACTACTAAGATATATAACCCTTTCACCCCAAGTTATGAACTTATAGGAAAGCCAAACCAATAGAAGAACATAGAAAAATAACACCTTTTAGGTATAAATCCCCCTAGAAGTTTAAACGAGTGACATTTACTATTTTACTCTCAATGTAAGGTGCATGCCATGATTATTTCAACAGATAAGGATTCTCTCCGGATCCTACGATCTCGGGGATTACTTCATCGTGTCCGTTCATCGTACATCATGCCACTTGATCAGAAATCATTTTGAATTTTTTTTATTTATTTCAATTTTAAATAAAAAAATTCAAAATAATTTATGACCGCAGGATGACAGATGAACATACACGATGAAGTAATTCTCGGGATCCTTACAAACAGGATCCGGATAGGATCCTATTCCTATTTCGACAACACTTCAAGATGGACGCTCAAGGATCGATGAAAACTGGACACAAGGGAGAACTGATGGATCAAATAGTTGGGCCTTATCACTATATACTGCACCACTACTAGATATAAACATCAAAGTTAAGCTTCATATTGCAGTTAAAATGTATGTTTGGAAGAGTTCTAGGAATAGCTAAAACCGCTTTCAAAAAATTAAGTGTTGACAATGTTTGACGTAAAAAGTTAAAATCTTTCTAAATTGTAAAAGCATTTCTAAGTGCTTTTATGAAAAATACCTAGCAAGTGCTTCTTAAAGAGTTCCAAGTGCTTTATCAAGAAACAATTGAATGTATAGACATTTTGATTGTTGCTAATGAAAGTGTTTATAAGCAAAAGTACTTTCCAGAGAAACATTTTAAAAGGACCCTAAGTCGGGACAACAAAAATGTAACATATATAGTAGACAAAAGGATGTGCACGACGTGATATGCAATTGATTATCGTTGAGAGTGTGAAGCATTGTCTCGCATCAGAAATTTAATAAACTTTGTAAGGGCTTCGAAGGAGTTGGACTTCTCCCGGTTTTGTTTAACTCGAAGCCAGATGGCAACCTAGGAGATTAACCTAGGACTGTAAGTATGTCGGTGGATTATCATACGCATATTTTATTTACATGCATGCAGAACTTATCTACATATTTATTGTATTTTAACGTTCTCTCATATCAATACTAGTCAATTTCACATTTATAGTCAGATCATATGGAAATAAATGAAAAACAAAATTTCAAAAGGAATTATAACATAATTTTCTTATAGAGGTGATTTTTTTTTAACAATGATGTGATAGATTTTTTTTAGCAAACGATAATGTTAGTCGTTAAATTGTTAATTGTTAAGGTGAAGGGGAATTCACACCAGAGTACATATGCATGATTGCTTTCCGACACTACGATAAAATGCCATCTGCAATGCCATAGATTTTGAACTTGGTCCTTCTTTTAGGTATATTATTACGAATATTTTGATCCTGGTCTTTCTTTCCTATATTTAATTATATATAATACCACATTAGATTTTATTGAACTTTATAAACTTATGTACCTTCGCCCTTTATGGAGCAGACTACACCTTTCTTCTTTCTGCAGTAAGAGTTGAGGGTGTTAAATTCTTGTAATTAACATGGTCCTTCCCATGGAGTGATGATACCAATACAAATACACTTACTACAGGGAACTACTGATATTTTTTTTCCTTTTTATTTTTCAAGTTGAAGAAGGTTAACAAACCCGAGCAAGCTAATTAATTAGTTCTTAGACGCAAAAATCACCAAATAATCATGCAAATACTTTGGAACTCTGATGATCCAATATATATTCTACTATATATATAGTGCTTCGCCAAACAAAACTTCATCTCAGACATGCTCACGACATGCATGGAAATTTAACCAATATTACTCTAACTATTACCATATCACTCCTTATGCATGCAAACTTTTCTTTATCATCTCAACGTATCATGCTATACTATTTTTCCCTGAATTATTTAAGAAATTCTTTCATGTGATGGAAACACTACTTGACATGTTAACGTGATCTTACAAACTCACTTTCAATACAATGCGTGCAACTATTGATATACATGAGTGCGTACCAGAATCTCGACAACAATAGCAGTCGTCACACACAACTCTATCGGATCAAATGGTGATTATATTGATTAGTCACTATTTTAGTTGCTTATGAGAGTTACTATTACTTATTTTTCCACACTTAGGATTCCATATCACTTATTATTTGTTCACAAATTAATGTGATCCGACAATCTATGAAAGGTTGAGGTATGTGATAAGCTAGTGGATGATAAGATGAGGTATGTGATTGTTTCTCAAGTTGAGGTGCAATGTTCTATTTTCCTAACGAACCCAACAATGTGCATATGAATCACATGCTATTCAGGTCAGAACTTGATCAATTCAATGTTTGGTATCTTATGTTGCCAAATGATTTGGCAATAATACATTTCACGTCAAGTAAATGTATATCGAACATAAGTTGAATTTTTTTTATCAAACATAAACTTCATTAATAGAAGAAAATGTTACATGAGATGAGATAAACTTAAAGAAAAGCTGCTAGTAGGCCAAGTGGACCAAGAAGCTCAAGGTACATGATGCCCAATTAGACTATGTTGACACAAGTCGTCTTCGCCACAACCACCATATACCTCACCAATCCTCCGTTCAGATCAGTTGATATGCGGTCAGCACCAACAAAACATAAGGGCCAAAAGACAAACCACATATGCAAATAAGTCCTAATTGAAGAACATATCTAATCCCCAATTTCACAACAACAAAGATGCACAAAGAATACACAAATTTGCCTTTAAAATACTCAGCAAAAGAAAGCAGCCAGCACCAGCAACCATATCAACCACTCAAGGACCAGCAAGGGAAAACTGATAATGCCAACCAAACAAGAAGACAAAACACTATCAGAACCGTTGAAGGAGGTGGTGCAGATACCTAAATTAGCTGCACAGCGGTTTTGCACACATTCATCTAAGTGAACGACGACTCGCTCTCGAGGTGGGTAGCAAACACAATGGCTAGAAGAGGCTACTCAATCGAAAGCAGGTATCCAACAAACAAATGGAGGACTTGTGGGCTGAGGAGTGGGAGGGTATAGGAGAGCATTCGTGTGATGCACAGAGGAAGGGGATCTAAGTAGTTGTTACGGTTAGGGATTATATATAATTTTGGGGCTAACTTAAATCTGGTGCAACAACAATGCACCCAATCTGAGACCGAGCTCAGGCCCACTAACACCGGAATTCGAGGATTGAGGCGAGCTATCATCTTCCGAGAGATAGGGTAAGCTACCAGCCTACCATCAGTGAGTGATGGAGCAAAACGGCAGGGGAGAGAGAAGGGAGGCGTTTTTCTCTTATTGGAGGCATCTATACTTACATATTCTACTAAGTTTGGGAAAACAGCATCCACTTTTTCCCCATCGAATATTAACAATATAGAGGAAGAAAAGGAATAATATATAAATATGTACATAGTATTCATATACAACAACTCGGGTCCGCCCAATGCCCCTTGAAGAGATTGATGCTAAAGGTTGTCTAAAGGTGTTCATTCGTTAGTAACGGTGGATGATGGATGTAGTCGCTCCAATAAATCTCTTGCATAGTCAATGGGAAATTTAGTCCAATGGCGAGCGTTGGAAGCGTAATGGGTAGGAGAAGGCTGGAAACTCAAAATTCGAAACCCTCCTCTTTGTAAGCGAAGGACAAAGAATATCGAGAGCTAAACGGATTTATACATGTTGTCTTTTAACGCTAAATTGGAGATTTCATTTATGTTTTCATTGTTTTCAATCTGAGGTATAACCACATACGAGTTTTCTTTAAACTATTTTATTTTAATTTTTAGAAAAAAATAATTTCCTAGTTAATAGTAAGTTTCAATGTGTTTAAATAATTAAAGTTCAAAATTATGTAATTGATATTAGTTAAGTAATTCAAAATTTTTTTTTTACCTCAAAAGGCGAAAGAAGCATAAAAATTATCACTTCAAAAGTTATACAAAACATGTGAAAAGATAGCACATACATCAACAAAAAATAAATAAAATAAATGGATCCATTGATTGGTAACTCTTAAAGAAAACAAATCAAAATGATTTAAAAACTTTGAGTTTCAATGATAAGAATAAAATAAAAGGTAAAATAAATAATATCAAGTTTGACATTTTAATATAAAAATATAATTTTTCGTTATAGTGAACAGTACCACAAATTTTTCGTTAAAACTTTCAACTTTTAATTACAAGATGGTAGCTAGCTAGCAGCCTAGCACTGCAAAGACATACATACAGAAGGAACCGGGTTCGGACCCAAATGAACTGAGTCCAATGATCAAATAATTCAGACCATTGAAATTTAATTCAACCGCTATAATTATTATTAACTTTAAAGGACCTTCTATTTGTAACCATTAGATCAAATTTCTAATTTTAATGGTCTGGATTATTCGATCCTTCGACTTAAATTTTTTGGATGCAGAGAGGATCCGGTTCCCATACAGAAAAAGGGAAGAAAAGATAGATCGGGAGCCAGCTGTCTAGTTCCTGGCGGGCACTTGGGACATAAAATCGAAATTAAACATAAATCAACTTCGATCGCACCGAATGATTCAGTTTTTCTAATTTAACGGGTTTAATTTGAAACGAACCGCAAGCTAAATAAATTTAATTTCTCTTCTTAATATTTGAAACCGATTCTAAACCGGACAACATGATATACAAAATATTTAATTTAGTTAGCAAATTAAATGTTGGCGTATTGGTTATTTGGTGAAGGTCATACATGGATTTAAATTTGGTGAAGGTCAACATAATTTACTACGGTTTCCACCCTCGAATCGAACCGAACCGAACCACAATAACCCCAACCACACTAAACTGTACCCAGCCCCGGTTCCTTTTAAGCTTTTTTTTTTTTTGGGTCGAGATCCCGGTTCCTATTAAGCTAAAACTAAACTGAGAAGGAAGAAGAAATTAAAGGGGGGCGTACCTCTCGCCGCTACAGAACTCGTAGAGCCTCCCCTTGGCGGAGAAGATGACGAGGCCCACCTCCACCCCGCAGAGCACGGACAGCTCACGTGCCTTCTTGATCAGTCCGCTTCTCCGCTTGGAAAACGTCACTTGCCGCCTGAGCTTGTCGTCGATTAGCTTCAGCTCTACCTTCCCTCGCCCCATTTACTTGCGATTGCTTGATCTCAATCTCTCTCTCCCTCTCTTGTTTCTCTCTCTAGTTTCCGGGAGCGAGAGTAGAGCCCTAACCTAGAAGCAGCAGCAGCGAATTCGAAGGAAAACCAGAGGAGGGGTTTCTCAGTCGTCGGCGACTCCTCCCACCCAACTACCATTTAAGGAATTTACCTTTTTTTATTTATGGATATTACTAATTTTGTTTATAGGACAAAATAGGAAACGTACCAGAACCAAAGAGAGTAGCTTTATTTTGGGTGCACATGTCAGCAAGGCATATTTTTCAGAAAAGGCGGATCATTTTTCTAGGGATTCTAAAGATTCTGTGATCGTGACCGTTAATCGTACATCGTCCGATCAGTTTTCTTTAAGTAATATTTATATTTAATTTTAAATTTTAAATAAAATGATTTCTGACTGTACGATATACGATGAACAATTACAATCATACTCACAAGATTCTTAGGATTCCCAAGAAAAAATCCTTTTCCATATTTTTCGGCCATTTTCAGAACAAAATAAGATTATTCTATTAAAAGGTAAACCCTCTATTATGGTTTTGGTAGATATGTTTTTGCTCACATCGCCGGAGGGATGGTGATGTAATGTTAATCATTTACTTATCAATGTTAAATAAGTTCAAATTTTGTATTAAAATGCAAAGATAATTGTTTTTCCCTAATACGATGAATGGTCATCTATAAGATCTTCACTTAAAAATAAAATAAAAAATTCATTAAACTATAGTAAAAAAAATTCATTAAACTATAATATTAAGCAACGTATAAAATTAGTGCTTAATTTTCATTCCATTCTTAGTTCAATTAATTAAACGCTTTTGTTTCTTATATTTTCACTTCGATTCCAAAATTAGGTAACTAAAATTTATTTATTTTCTATAAATAGTGCTTAACGCTCTGCCCTAATTTGGTAATATTGGGGACCACACATCTGGAAGACTGTATCCTGTCTGAACGTTCAGGGTAATCAGTAGGCAACTTTTGCTTTTGTCGCGTCAACCACGTCCACATCATTATTTTATGGAAACCTATCCTCTTTTAGGATTGACGTTGGGTGTGCGGCCCCTCGCAGAACACATCTGCCTTCCTCATCCATCCATATCGGCTGAGTTGGGAACCACCCCACTTGAATTCCTGGGCTTAAAAATTCTTGGGTCGCTTGGATGTTTTTAAAAATAAATTTTTAGTAAAAATTCAAAATAAATTTTGAAAAATATTTTTAAGTGCTTCTTAGAAAAAATACATATTTTCTGTAAAAAACACATATATAGTGTTTCATGCAAGAAACACTAGATATAGTGTTTTTTTTTTTCAAAATATACTTGGACTATCTCAAACTCTTGAGCTAAAATCTAAAATTTTTAACCTAGAAAATTTAGGTTTTAACACAAAAACAGTTTTTCTCCTCCAACCTTTTTTAGTTAAATTTTTAGCCTGAGAGTATTAAATAATGAATTTAGGATAATTTTTTCTTAAAGTAACTTTTTAAAAAAATTAAGTTATGTGAACTATTCTAATTTAATTTTTGAATATTTTAACCTAAAAATATTTAAATTCCGATAAATATTGAAAAATATATAAACTGGCACTATGAAACTCATGGAACACTATGAAAGAATATGAAACATATCAAAATTTTTTTTTATTACTTTAGCCTTTAGATTTAAATTTGGACATTTAGATCTTTTGTTGTGCTGTTAGATTTGATCATATTAAATCTTATCTGTTGTATTCAATAAATTTATAAATATAAAACCAAAAAAAAAGTACACTTATATGGTGGCCTAGCTCCACTAACTCAGGGGAATCATGGGCTAAATTTGCTCTAAAAATAAGTTTTGGATTAAAACTCATATTTGCCCCAAGGGTTGAAGCAAAGTTGGGGTAAGTTTATAACCTAAAATTTGAGTTTTACTTCAAGGGGCTCAAAATCACCTTTATCAAAAGTATTTTTACTCATTTTAAAAATACTTTCAAACAAGCTCTTAATCACTTAAGAAGTTGTAGGATATTTCTACTTACGATTTATAAAAAAAAATTTAAGGCCAAAGTCCCAATTTTGTACAGTTGTTAATAATTCCTAAGTTATTTATGAAAATGTTCTTTTGTGCGGAAAGTCATCCTACCGCGTTACTTATTCGCATAAAATACACATATAGAGAATTTTACTTGAGGAATTTTTTTTTGGGTATCCTAAGGATTCTGCGATCGTGATCATTCATTGTACATCGTCCGGTCAGTTTTTATGTAGTACTATTTATATTTAATTTTAAATTTTAAATGAAATGATTTCTGATTGCATAATGTATGATGAACAGTCACGATCACAAGATCCTTAGGATCCTCATCCTTTTCCATATTTTTCAGCCATTTTCAGAACAAAATAAGGTTATTCTATTAAAAGGTAAACCCTCTATTTTGGTTTTAGTAGATATGTTTTTGCTCACAACACCCTAGAGATGGTGATGTAATGTTTATCATTTACTTATCAATGTTAAATAAGTTCAAATTTTGTATTAAAATGCAGAGACAAATGTTTCTCACTATTACGATGAATGACCATCTATAAGATCTTCATTTAAAATTGAAAAAAAAAATCATTAAATTATAGTAAAAAAAATTCATTAAACTATAATATTAAGCGACAGTATAAAATTAGTACTTAATTTTCAATCCATTCTTAGTTTAATCAATTAAACGCTTTTGTTTCTTATATTTTCACTTTGATTCCAAAATTAGGTAACCAAAATTTATTTATTTTCTGTAAATAGTACTTAACGCTCTTCCTTAATTTGTTAATATTGGGGCCTACACATCTAGAAGAGTATATCCTGTCTGAACGTTTAGGGTAATCAGTAGGCAACTTTTGCTTTTGTCGCATCAACCACGTCCACATCATTACTTTATGGAAACCTATCCTCTTTTAGGATTGACGGGGGTGGGTGTGCGGCTCCTCGCAGAGCCTTCCTGATCCGGAGGAGGATCCTTTTTCTGAAAATTCTAAGAATATTGTGATCAAGACCGTTTATCGTATATCGTATTATAACATTGGAACGATGATCGAAGAAATGAAGAGCAAGCTGAGAAATTCACCCGATCAGACTTAAACTTAGGCCATGCCTTCGAAAGCAATGGATTTACCACTTATCTCCTGTCCCAGAAGGACTAGAACCATTGTGCAGTTGTGATTGAGTAGGGCTTACAACGGCTTTCTACTTTTATCATTGGATTTTAAAGTTCATTGAGCAGGATCGGGAGACACGCATCTTTTACGTACAGTGAACACTGTGACACTTTTTAAAGCCATTAATTGAAGAGCAAGCAATGGCTAGGATTGTATCTAGTTAAACTGCAGAGAGGCTGATCAGTTTTGTGGTAAATTTGGTCTGTTCATGACATACACAAAAGGTCAAGGGTGTTTTCCTTCCGTATGGCTTTGGTTACTTGTCTTCCGTGGGTTTTGACTGCTCTTTGTAAAAGTTGGTTATTGTGTAGTGGATGGTTTTTTGTTTTCCGGCCGGAGAACCCAATGTATGTGGGCGATTCTATCTGCCCAAGAACAAAGAACTTGAAGATATGTTTCTGTCAAAATCTTGGATTCGCCACGCCTAAAAACAAGAAGCAAGCGTTGGAGCATGTCTAGGGATGGTTGGATTCGCCACGCCAAAAAACAAGAAGCAAGAGTTGGAGCATGTCTAGGGATGGGGGAGAAACTGCGAGCTTAAGTAGCCATGGTTCTTAAGCTATGAGTTTAGAGTCTAGTAATCCGTTTCTCATGGTCAAAATGCAACCATCATACATAGCAATTCACTTGGTAAACTTCCTCGCCGTTTGTACAATCCCAGTTCATATTGGAATATGAATTAGGAACGAAACAGCTTAAGGAGCAACAGAACTACATAATAACCCCCTTTTTGGTTTGTTTTTATATTTTGTTTGTGATGTTTGCAGAGACTATCTGTATCGTTAGTTAAGCGATACGTCTTTGAATGCAAGAATATATGATGGTTGGAAAGCATTTGTGCTCGAAAATCGTCTGAAAGTAGGGGATGCTTGTGTGATTGAGCTGATACTAAGGCCCCGTTTGGGATTGAGGTGATTAAAAAAAGCCACTGTGAAAAAAAGCTGAGGGTCATTTTTGTGTTTGGTAAACTGAAAAAAAATGGCTTATTTTGGAAGCTGCTGTGAGAATAAGCTGAAAATCAAAGGAAAAGCTGAAGCTGCTATTTGCTGCTTTGAAAAAAAGCCAGTTTTTTCAAAGCACACGGAGCTACAGTGCTCCTTTAATGAAAAGACACACTATCATCCTGATTTTTTTCCAAAAGCACTTTCACAAAAAAGTTTACCAAACACTCTACTGGCTTTATTTCACAGCCACTTATTCTCACAGCACAGCCGCTTATTCTCACAGCAGTTTTTTTTCAAAGCACAGCAATACCAAACCAGCCCTAAGAGCCGCACTCGTAAAGTCACATTCAAGGTTGGCATGTGCCGCGCTTAAGGCGCAGAGTGATACATTAAACAAGACGTAACATATTGTAGCATCTATGGACGCTATTATTGATTGTCACGTGTAAATAAACTTCACTCTCCTTAACTTTGTTGTCATAAACTTAACATGTGTCAATCAATGATAGAAGTCACAGAGAGGGCCACACACAAAATAGGTGCAGAAAATTTGATCTCAATTCTCTTTATCTTCCCCTATACATGAGAAAGACTTCCATGTCACGGCACAGGTGGGTTGACAAAACAACACTTCTAAGTAAACCACCATGGCACAAAACACTAAAAAAGTCTCAATTCTCATGACGATCTGATTAGCTATTCATCATCGGATCAAACTCATTGCAGTGTGAACAATTAGACTTGATGCCACTAATTAACAAGCTCAACTAGTTTAAAGTAGCAAGAAAACCCTCAAAACCCGGCAGCTCAGGCCCAACCTTTGTGGAATCCACTTTCTTTTTCCCGTCTCTGTTCTTTTAGAAATTCATCTTCTCTCTGTCTCATGATCGTTCTCTTCCATATTTTCTCTCAAAACCCAGCTTTTTAAAAAACATTAAACCCCTCTTAAAAAATAATTTAACAATTTCTTGTAGAACAGGAGCAATTGAAAGGACTTTGAATCTCCTTTTGGAATAAAACTTAATCAACCTCCTGACAGGCGAAAAAATCAAGACAGACAAACCGAAAAATAATTCCTCAGAAACCCTAACTTTTCTAGTGTGATCACTAAATTATTGAGGGGCTATGTTTAGCCTTTTCGTTGAAGATGGTTATGAATATGACAGATGCATACTATACAATGACTAAAAACCATACATCAACCGCGTCGCCGGTAATGAACAAGCCGATATCTAATACATGGTAAATTCCAATATCCGCGAATCACAGTACGTGGGAAGATAATAAAGCTTCCGTTGCCAACGGCAGTCGTCTCACGAACAATCAGGCTGGCTACCCCTCGTGATAAAACCATAAACAAAACGTAAAGGAACCCCTTTTGTGAAGGCGAAGCAAAGCAATCACAAAGCTGTGTCGGGAAATAAAAACATATTCAAGTGCATGTCGAAACAGGGAGTAGCATTGGCTTCGAAGACGCTGTAAAGAAGGCTTTGAAAACTTCAACTTTTGCGGTAACACCCGCATACTTTCTGAATCTTTTGCATCGTCAGACAGAAGCCTTTGCGTCATGCTCAGCACTCGCAGGAGGTTTGGCGTCAGATTCTCCAGCAGCGGATGGTGGTTGGTTAGCAGTTTCGTCCTCTGTGTCACTATCATCATTCTCTGCTAGTAGGTACAAGACGGTTAATTTAATTTTCAGTGATAAATTGTACGCTAATCTGCAGTTACTAGTCCAGTTCCAACAAACAAAAGATCATGCAACTGGAAAGGACTATATAGATTGTGAAACTCACCATCAAACTTGCCAAGAGCATCAGCACTCGAGCCACCGCCACCCATGTTCAACTTCTGAAATAACAGAACGCAAGAAATTGTTTAACGTAATAAATAATTTATTATAAACAATCCTATAGTCAGGTGATGGTACAGCTACTTATACTAGTATAAACAATTCAACAGTAAGGCGATGGTATAACTACTTACAGACATATCAAAGTCCCCAAAGTTCATATTGTTTCCAAGTCCCCCGAGGTTCATATTGTTTCCGAGTCCTCCAAAGTCCATATTGTTTCCAAGTCCTCCAAAGTCCATATTGTTTCCGAGTCCACCAAAGTCCATATTATTTCCAAACCCACCTGGACCTGGAAACCAGAATTAAAGCCAAAAGCGTACAATCAGAATTCCTCAAGGAAACTATGACAATGCAGAAAGAGATTTAGGAAAGATAAGAGAAACACTCACCGCCTTCGTCACCTTTCACTTCTTCAGGCTCCTCATCTTCATCAACCCATTTATCCCAATCCACTTTCAGAAAAATAGGAGCTTTTCCCTGCTGTTTGATCAACCTGCTCCACCATTTTTCCTCAGCTTTTTTCACTAGGTAACAGATATTTCTCAAGCCAACACTAGACTTGGTCTCCTGCAAGTAAAAGAATATGTTAGTCCCATAATTGACTACCCTACGATATCCTAGTAAAATGAAATAAATCCATGATGGTTATGGCGAGACATTACATTTACATCAATCTTGTCATAGAGATCAAGGTCAACTTCATAAGCTGTCTTCTCTGGTCCAGTAGTAGCAGAAAACAAAAACTTTCCTTCAGGCTCCAGTTTAAGCTTTACATCCTGGGCATCCGGCAAATCAATAGTTATGTAGACCATATCAGACCTCTGGGCCCATTTCACATTAGGATGTCGGCTGAAATGTAAAAGTTTAAATGAAAATTAGAAAAGATTAAAGTACAAAACAATCGAGGTAAATCATATACTCCAGAACAAAAAACTTATAGAAATACAAACTTAAAATATTATCCATAATGCTAGCCACTTCTTCTAACACACTTACTTTCATCTTTCTAATATCGTAGTTTTTTTTTTTCATTTCTGCAATCAGTACCGTCCAATCTTTGAAATTTCATTAAATTGGATGGTAGAGTGTAGAGCCTACAAATGTTAGGCAGGCTGCCACAAGGATAGTAAGACCCAAAAGTTACATCTTACCCGCCAATTGCTAAATGTTAAATTTCTTGAACTACACAACCGATGCCAAATACCTAACCGTTAAAGAACAACTGAACATTCGTTGTACTCAATCTACATAACTCCCGGGACCAAGAAAGTTATGAAGAAACAAAAATGAAACCGCACAGCAGGGAACAAACACTATGAAACTAGCACCTCAAGTACTGTAAAACAAATCAGACTAGCATTCATCTAACCAAAGCTGGTAGCTGCTAGCAATTGGTTGTTAAAACCCTACACTAATCAAGCGTCCTGCACATATATCTAGCTTTATGCACATCCCGCCAATAATAAAACGCGTTCAAGCACGTAGTTGCAGCTTGCACAAATAAGGCAGTGTTTAAGTATGATAAACCAAAAAAGAAAATGGAAACATGAGTTTAGAAAAAATGGGAATAGATAAAATAAAGCTGAAAAAGAAAGACCGGCACAATAGTTGCATAAATTAAATAGCTTTCTACAACATACAAAAGAGATTGAGAAATCTAATTCAGCAGTTTCTTCTCCTAATTAGGTCTGGTATTAATTTACCAAAATCTGAGTAAATCCTTTAAAAATGAAAACTTATAGCCCCTGTTTGGTTGCAGAGAAAACGAAATATGGAAAATAAGACAACATATTTCCATCAAATTACTCAGTCAAATCAAATTACAAGTCATTTCCATGAAATGAAAAACAAATCATTCAGAATTAAAACCCTAAACCTCAACTGAACCCAACACAAAAACCAAGGCGTCTTCGCGGATTCAAGTTTCCATATTCACAGATAACTCATTTTCCATCACTTTCTCAGCAACCAAACAGTAAACAATTGAAAAAGTAAAGACGAAAAATTGGAAAACCCTAACTCAAACCCTATGCTTCTTATGCAACCCCAAAAGAAGAAAACATAAATATCTAAAGTAAATGTAAATTAAAAGAAAGCAGGATCTAAGAGCAGCACCTCATATCGGCGTATTGATCCTCGCTCAGAAATAGCTTTTACTTCGCACAGGAAGAGAGAGAGAGGGAGGGAGAGAGAGAGAGAGAGAGAGCAGGGAGTGGTTTATACAAGAAAGGAAAGGGGTTTTAGTGCTATTTATAGATTTCTGGACGGTAAAATGTAAAAATGCACGGTAAAGTGAGGAGAGTGATATTTAGTATTTACACTCATTTTTATTTTCCGTATACTTTTATTAATTTTTTATATTAATCGTCTTTAATTTATTTATTTCAATGGTAAAAGTTAAAAAAAATAATAATAAGAAGTGAAAATAGGTGCGAATTCTAGTCTTACATTTTGTTTTGTTTTTAGTCAACATGTATAGTTTTAGATTAGGTGGTGCCGTGTGGCTCGATACTTCGTGCAAGTTTTAGATATTTTGAGTTGTTACGGAACACAAGTAGTATATCATGTATTTTTATATAAGTGGTAAAAAAATTTTTTTGAAGTTATTAATTTTTTAATATACATATTTTACTGTTTAAATAGTGACACGTGATATGCCATTCCTTGGGAGGGATACTTAAATGGTGTCATTGTCAAGCCTCAAATGCTAGCTTTGTTGATGCTTTTCCTGTGATCAGGAGTGTTCATCAGTTTACCATTGCAGATTGAGGCGATGATTTGTTTTTCTATTAAAAAGACGATACAATGTAATTTTTTATTTATTTTTTATCAATACAATGTAGTTTACTTTTTATGTTAGCATTCTACAAAATGTTGAATGCACCCGTTTTGGCCCAAAATATTGGTTTGGACCGAGATGGATTCTCGGCCCGGAAGGCCTTACAGAAAGATTACTGTGGATCGTTGAGTTCATGGGCTTCCTAACCTAGGTTGGTCAAGTCATGCTGCGAGACGAGTAATTGAATCCTGGCACAATAAGGAGTCTCGGCAATATATGGATAAAAGGGAATCCGGTTTGATAAAGGACTGGGTTCAAAGTCATAGTGAAAATAGAACTGGTCGAGATGGTGTTTGATGAGAAGAAGAAATCCTAATCCGAGTAGGGTTTTAACTCAGTCTAGAAAGTGTTTGGTGCTATAAATAGAAGAGTTTGTGCATCGTTCAAGCCCCCTCCAATTCAACACACGACTGCTCTGCGCAAATTCTCTCAACAACCTTAAGACTTTTTCATTTTCTTTTTTCGCCAACACACCTTCAATTTGGATAAACAGCACTGTGAAGGCAACCAGTGATATCTTCAGTCGGCATAGATAGCACTGTCACCGTAGAACCAGCCAGTCTCGCAGCATTTTCAATCGGCATAGATAGCATTGCATCGAGGGTGACTGGTTATCTATCCAAGTCTCAGTCAAGAAGGAATTATGAATCCTTATTGGTCGAGGTCATCTCATTAGCCTTCTCGGCGAAGTGAGGTGTTACAGTATATTAGGCTCGGTACATTGCATGCCGAATTAGTTTATGATTAGATACTCTCAAGTGGGATTTAGAGTTCGGCATTCTGACGGCCAAACCACGTTTATTGTTAAGACACATATCCGCTTTGAGTATTTGTGCCCTTACACTTTGGTGTCGATTCGGCGTGAGTTTACTCTAATTAATACCATCACTATGACCGAATCCGACAGTGACGATTTGTGAACTTTGTAATAATAGTAGCCTTGTCTTCAGGTTTGAGAACCCAAGAGGTCGAGACGTGTTCCTTCCTCGGTCGCAATCACAAGACGCAGAAGTTAGCCGCGCACCCAACGCAACATCAACAAATTTTACTCCTTGGTCGAGCTCGGCTGACGAGTTGGCACGCCCCGCATTCAACTGAATGACGTAGTTAGCTTATAGATTATTCGGACTGCGCGCTACGTATGCTTGGTAGTTTTTAGGGTCAACAGCACCCCACATTAAAATTTAATATTAAATAACTTATTTAGCCTACTATGCAATGACAATTTTGACCTTATTAGGTTTTAAAAAAATCTAAATATACCTCAAATCACTTTTAACGTATTATTTATCTTCTTTAACTATCAAAACCCCTCCGATCCTCCATTGTTGAACAAAACTCTAACCAATAAAACTACAAATATGTTGAATGAGAAAAATTATTTTGACGAATAAAACATGAAATCAATGTTTCGGAAGCTTCACTTGAGGTAAGACTTCAATTTTTGTATTGTTTTAGTGATTTTGACGACATCGATAATTATTTAATTAATCTTGCTTTTGTTGCATTATTCAAGCTTCTATGTTCGTGTTCATCTTTTAGGGATCGCATAGATTACACAAAGAATTAAACACCTAAAATTACCACAAAATATTAAAAATAGACGACATGGGTTTTAATGGTGGAATTGAATACAACCCACATATGCTTTAAATCCTAGGCGGCAATGTATATTGAGAACGTGGGGTGTGAGGGTATTATGAAAAAATATGTAGGGTGTATTAAGATAATTTTTAATTGAAAAGGCAAATATGAGGTGTATTAAGTTGGTGAGGTTTTTTCCACAATTTGTGGGGTTCATAGCATTTTTTTTAATTTTCTTAGAAATGAGATATATTGCATTTCTACATCAGCAAGAGATGTAAATGTCATGTGGACCGAGTTTTATTTGGTCTTCATGTTTAGATGTAGGCTCATTATCGAAGTTATCTAGAAAATGTTATTACATTTCTTGTGCTTATGACGGGGATCATTCATATTGTAAATTATTTCATATAAATCATGTCTAAAAACTCAATTAATGCTATAATAAATAGATAGACAGTTCGTAATATTTTTACTAATACCGACTATTTGGTCTAAGTGCATTTTTGCTCACATTCTTAATTGGTGATAATGTTCATCATCTATTTATTATCGTTGAATGAATTCAAATTTTGAAATTTGTGTATATCCACCACACAGATTTCAAATTTAAACTTATCTAATGGTGATAAACAAGGTAATGAACAACACCATCACTTGAGGATGGTGAGCAAAAATATTTCCATTTGATTTTATATTGTTTGATGGCTAAACGATCTTATACGTATATATATTACAAAGATAATATTGAGATAATGATTTGTTATATAAACAGCTATCAGAATGAAATTTTACAAATTAATCACAAAATATGATAAGGAGTTCCTCGTCAATACTTGAGTAACAAAGTCTTTTCCATCTCAAATTTATATTTTAAAACCCGATTAACCGGAAGTTCTACCCAACCCTCCAAAAAGGAGAGATTTTTCAATGTGACCGTTACACGAAATGGTATATTACATGTCCCTCTATAAACGATAGGTTATGTGTATTAAAAGGTTAATAACTTAAAAATTAAAATTTTCCACCACTTGTATAAAAATACGTAGTGTATCATCTATGTTTCTGTCGTAACTAAATTTTTTTCCCCAAAAAAGCAAAAAACGCAGATAAAAAGGGCTTCCCATCTCCCAAGTGCCATAGGCATGGAAAATGGCCAGCTTGGAGTCCTTGTTACAGAAATGCACCTCCCTCACGAGCATCAAACAGCTCCAAGCCCACCTTCTAACCAGTGGCAAATTCCAATTCTACCCCTCCCTCACCACCATACTCCTCGAGCGCTGCGCCCTCTCCCCCGTCGCCAACCTCCCTTACGCGACAGCCCTCTTCTGCCACCTCCAAAACCCTTCCACCAATCAATGGAACGCCGTCGTTCGAGGCCTCGCCCAGAGCCTCCAACCCACCCAAGCCATTGCATGGTACAAGACCATGTCCCAAGCTTCCCAGAAAATCGACGCCCTCACGTGCTCCTTCGCTCTAAAGGCGTGCGCACGTGCATTGGCTTTCTCTGAGGCAATGCAGATTCACTCTCAGATTGTACAGTTCGGATTTGGAGCCGACGTGCTGCTGCGAACTACTTTGCTGGACGTTTATGCGAAAGTGGGTGATTTGGGGTTTGCACAGAAAGTGTTTGATGAAATGGGTCAAAGAGATATTGCTTGTTGGAATGCTTTAATTTCTGGGTTGGCTCAGGGGAATCGACCCACTGAAGCTATAGCTTTGTTTCAGAGAATGAGCGAGGAAGAGGGTTTGAAGCCTAATGAAGTCACCGTTCTTGGTGCGCTCTCTGCCTGTTCGCAATTGGGTGCACTCAAAAGAGGAGAGAAAATACATGCCTATATAATGGATGAGAAGCTTGATATGCACGTCATTGTTTGCAATGCGGTTATTGATATGTACGCGAAATGCGGCTTTGAGGACAAAGCATATTGGGTGTTTCAGAATATGAAATGTGGGAAGAATCTAATAACGTGGAATACGATGATTATGGCGTTTGCCATGCATGGCAATGGTGACAAAGCACTTGAGCTTTTCGGACAGATGGATAAAAGTGCGGTGTGCCCAGATGCAGTGTCGTATCTTGCTGCTTTGTGTGCCTGCAACCATGCCGGACTGGTGGCAGATGGGGTCAGGTTATTTAATTCGATGGCCGGGCATGGGGTTGCCCCTAATGTTAAGCATTATGGAACTGTGGTTGATTTGCTGGGAAGAGCTGGGCGTATTCAAGAGGCTTACGAGATTATAAATTATATGCCTATGTTTCCTGATGTGGTACTCTGGCAAACTTTACTTGGTGCTAGCAAGACTTATAGGAATGTAGAGATGGCAGAACTGGCGTCTCGGAAACTGATTGAGTTGGGGTCTAAGGGTTGTGGTGATTTCGTATTGTTATCAAATGTTTACGCGGCTCATGAGAGATGGGATGATGTAGGCAGGGTGAGGGAGGCCATGAAGAAAAGGGATGTGAAGAAGATACCGGGTTTTGGGTACATAGAAGTGGAAGGTGTGATACACAAGTTCGTTAATGGTGATCAAAGCCATACTAATTGGCGTGAGATTTATGCAAAGCTGGATGAGATCATGTTCAGGATTAAAGCCTATGGATATGCGGCCAAGACTAATAATGTGCTGCATGATATAGGGGAGGAGGAAAAAGAGAATGCATTGAGCTACCACTGCGAGAAATTGGCTGTGGCGTTTGGTTTGATTAGTTCCAATGAGGGGACACCAATTCAAGTGATTAAGAACCTAAGAATATGTGAGGATTGCCATGTTGTGATCAAACTTATTTCGAAGGTTTATAACAGGGAAATAATTGTGAGGGATCGAGCCCGGTTTCACAGATTTAAAGAAGGATTATGCTCTTGCAGAGATTATTGGTGACATTCATATATTATAAACTTATAAAGCAAACTGGAGATTCAAAATAAGTTATTTCCAGTTAATTTGAAGAGGCGTTCTGAAAGAACATATCCCTTCTCTGGTGTTTTGATACCGTTCCAGTGACGGTTAGTAATTTTTTTTTAATTTGTTCTGGTCCAAGTCAGTCATTAGTTGTACACTTCATTCCTAACGATTCAGGGAAGATAAGTTTGAATGGATCGCCACTGCCGTTAAGCCTTCTCTAGCGACTGGTGAGACACTGTAACTGCAGCACCGCATAAACACACTTTTGCTATACATGGCTGTCTCAGATTTTTTTTTTTTTGGGGGGGGGGGGGGGTAAAACCCTGCAATGAAAGTTAGAGTTTACTCCGTTTGATCATACGTACCCAGTGTATGGCATGGTATGAGGCAGACAAATTGTCTAGCCAAAATGAGAACTCACCAGCATGTGCTCTCAAGTGTAGAGGAATGAGATTGCAGGTTTGACGCCTCTCAGATGCCCCTCTGGACGTTTGCTTTTCGTTACTGTAAGTCTCATTTGGAAGCTTATGACTGCAAAAGAAAGGAAGGCATACCAGAACCTGTATCTCGGGTGATCATGACGCTTAGCGTGCACAGCATTTGGCGCTGAAGTGTGCTTTATACCTAGTGTTCGGACAGGGTTGTGCCAACATACTGTGATTCCTATTCATGCTTGGATAGCGTCGTGTTGTTGATCAATTCGTTCTACCAGCTTGTGCAATGAGGCTTACCAGAATTGTGTGATGGTACCTTTTTCTGCTCTGAAAGCCTGCTCTTACAGATGCGAGTTGCAAAGATGGTGCCACCTTAAATTACTTCACATAGGAGGCCGAGATTAGGATCGCGATCAAAGACAGGCCGGAAATGTTTATCACACCTTCAGGCTTCAGTTGTAATTATATACTTGACCAACAGTGATGATGATGCAGTCTGATAACATAACGCGTTGAAATTGTCCAAAAATAGAGCATTATACTCTAAACAAGTGTCTAATTTCTGATATAGTAAGAAGAATTCTGCAATCAAGGCTAAACTTGAGATCGTGTTCGTTCGTTTAATTGAATTCTTTGAAGGCACATACAAACAAGTACATCAACGAGGTCTGGAAAGGCCTCTTATGCCCCTTAAAACCAGTGTTTAATAACAATGAACAAAATATGCTACAAATTAGAAAGCCAGAATCTCACAATTACAATGCATAAGGCAGGTTGGTGGAATTAACACAACCAAACCAAGAGAAAATTACTGTCACAACCAGAAAAGGACTAACCCGAACGACCAAACCCTCCTGCTAGAGACTAGAACAGAGCCTCGATATCACGATTCTAATTCAGATTTCCATGAGCGACCGACGCCTCAGCAAAATAATTTCTCAGCGTGAAGTGAGCTTCAATTAGTAAACTGCTGTGATTCAACTGTCTTTCATTGCCTTCATTGCCCTCGCTTCAAACCCCCCTTCAGGTCTCTTGACAAGATTATACGGCATGTAGGTGCCAAAAAGTTTATCCCATATCGGGAAAAATGGCTGGGAATAGTTGTACTTCAAGCCTTGAAGTTGATGGTGTATGTCATGATAAGCAGTGTTGTTCTGGAATAGAAGATGGAATATATTACCAGGCAACCAAAGCCCACAGTGATCATCGACAGTTTTAATCACGGCAAAGCAGAAGAATATAACAGCCGTTCGTGCTGTCATCCCTGAGACTAGAAACGAGAGAGCCCCGCCAAAAGTGTCGAGCAAGAGACCCTCAAGTGGGTGATTATATAGGGCTCCAATTGCATATGGAACAACGAGTCTGTGGTGCTGAGAGTGGACATGGCGATACAAAAACTTGTTCTGATGCATGTAGCGGTGCACAAAGTACTGCCATGTATCCATTACTAGCATTGCGATAACAATCTGGACAATCTGCACAGGTATCGAGGGCTGAATTGTGACCCCGGAGATATTTGCCTTCGAGGTCAACTGTAGCAAAAATGCATGAACTTTTTAGTCAGAATATTCGTTGATAGAAAGGACCTTCCAAATTGGACATAGAGTTACAAATATTGATATGAAATCAATGCAAGTTGAGAGAGAACAGAAATTGGAAACAAATGTATTGGTCTTTTCCATCATTGGGGGGAATTAGACACTCCTACGAATAAAGACCTATGAATAATGACCTACTATGAGTCACAGATCGTAACGAAATTGCAGAGAAGGTAAACAATACACCTCATGTAAGATAGTAAAGCTACTGACTCCACCCATCAACCAACCAAGGCTTTCAATCTCAAAGCACTGCCAGATCAACCGCATTGACTATACACAATTGTAAGTTAAAAACTCTTCAACTTCTAAACAAAAAGAGAAAGGAAAACCCCAAGTAAAACAAATATAAAAAAAAGAAAGCCATATAAGATTAGTATAAATAAAAGTCTTCAGTACTATATGACAAAGCTCAGTGATGACAACGAATCCAACTCTGCACATCAATGTTGTCCAGATTTTAAAACATATCTTATAACCTAGATCTAACATCTCAAAAGCATGCATCACACGAATATCAGTGTACCAGCAGACTACCTAAGGAACTATAATCATCCCCAGCCTAGATTTCGTAAAATTCCTAGTGCCTTTTAAAGCCCACCCTCACTATGCTTTTAGGTACGGAAAAATTGTTTTTCATATTTCAATTTTTGTTCCTTTTTATGTTTGGACTAGAGGAACCCTGTTCTCTAAAAGGACAAAATGCGACAGTGGCACCATGATGCAAAGTATTAACATGCCATCCTTCTGCATGGCAGCATTGACTAGACGGAAACGGCAAGATTGATGGTATATAGGACACATGACGCCTTATGAAGTACCGTTCAAAATCCCGACTTAGTTATCAACATGCTAAAGATAAATTTGTACATCAATTTAGCTAAAACTAGGAACTGTTATGAATTCAAAGAATGTCTCACATGAAAACATGAGCATCCTTTCAGACATTTTTATGTTTCATTTCCATGTTTCACTGTCTTATGACTAAAAACAGTAGAATTAACAGGTCTCTTCAGTAGTCTCATTTGGTAGGTATGGAAGGTAGCTGGCGTTTGAAGACGCTCATTATCAAAGGTTTGCTTATTTATCTATTTATTTTTTTGAAGAACCCATTGGCAAAGGTCGTTGTAAAGTGCTTCACCAAATTATGCAATAAATACAGGTGAATACAAAATCTAGTATTGTAGGATCACATATTACACGGCATGCAATTGTACTGAACAAAGATATGCATGAACAAAGACATCAAATGAGCAAGAAACTTGGAGACTGAGAAGGCATCAAGTTTAAAGCCAAAGTCTAGAAGGAATCAAGGAACCAAGACAACCAAGACAAGATCAGGACATCGTCAAGCCCTCAGAGACTTCAAGTAGGGTGGCTTGTGTCTAAAGCGTCTAGAACATGTCCATGGTAAACCCAAAATAGGAGGAGAAAGATTGGTACATTGCACTAAGCAACTTTCTACATCAGTGTATCTGAAGGCGATTCTCAAACAGCCTGCAATTGGATCATGTCTAATTCTTAAGAGCCGTCACTCCATACTAATTCCAATAGTTATGCAGGCACATACCCATATCTATTTACATCTATGAACATGGATGAAAATGAAGTACATTCCGCATAAATTGGCATAATTGAGATAATGAACAAGTTGAAGTAACTGACCAAGAAGAGCCCCTGAGCAACGGTGGCCTGGACGAGCTGTTGAAGCAAAACACCCTTAACAACAGAGGGGAGAGGCATTGAGTTCTTCTCGTCTTCCTCTCTTCTTGAATGCAATCGGTAATTGTCCAAGGGCGGCAACAACTGGTAAGCCCCCGCATACAACCAGTAAACCACAATTGGGGCAAAAGTCCCCATTACCTCATCACTCACATAACCTTCCCAGAACACCATTGTTTTTGTTCTTCTTTCGAAATTTGAATCCAATTGAAGCTTATATCATATATTAGTCCCCAAACAAAATCCACTACATTTACAGTTGAAGATCTAGAATATGAATGCGCATTCTCTGAACCCTGAAAATTAAAAATCAAGGAATAATAAAGGAATAAATGCCTGAGTTTCGGATTGTTTCCTGATAGTAATCAATCAACAATGCACAAGTTACCATTCTCCAAGTGTTCAAATTTTCCTTTTGGAATTTCTCGGAAACCAAACAGAGCAGAGAAAGAATTTTACTTACCCAAATACATAAAAAACCACAAAGACATTGTAATCAAATTGAGAGCAGAAGAAGAAAAAGGGGTTTGGACCGACTTACAGAGAATGTGGGTTCTCATTCAGATCTAAGGCCCTGTTGGCGCACAGCAATGCAGGAACTCTCTTTTGCCGGTGGCAGTTGTGAGATTCAAACGGATTTAAAATGTAGGAAAAAGGGTTCTGTGATCTTGTTTGGGAGACGAGAAAATTAATGTTGTTTGAATTTTCTCTCTCTTACCCTGCTGCATTCTCTTTTTATGGCTACCACTATTTTCTTTTCTAAGAAAAAGAAAACTCTTGGTTTAAAAATACTCAAATTTTGGGTAAATTACACAAAACTACATTAATTATAGGTTGAACGATACTATCATACCTCATCTTTTAAAAATGACAATGTCATACCTCATCTTATGAATTTGTTCCAATATCAGACCTTCGTCAGTTTTTCTCTTAATTTCTCTGTTAAATGCTGAAGTGGCTAAAGACGGGGCCCACTCACTAATCCAACTGGATTAAAAATTAATTAAAAATTAAAAAATTAAAAATAAAATTATTTTTTTATATAAAATTGTGGAATCCACCCGCTTTCTCTGCTTTCTCTCGCCTCTCTCTTTTCTCTCTCTCTGGGCACCTGCATCCCCAAAATCCCAAAACCCATAAACCCTTCCCACCCGTCCCCCCCCCCAACCTTCATCCACCACCCTCTCTCTCTCCTATCTCTCTCTCTTTTCTCTTTGTCTCTCTCTGGGCCACCTGCATCCCCAAAATCCCAAAACCCACAATCCCATTACAAATCTCAAAACCCAAAATCCCATCAAACCCCCCAAAGCTCATAAAGTCCCAATTGGTATCCCTCTCTTCCTCTTTTTCCGCCATCGTCGCCGCCTCGCTAGCCTTGTTGCCACCGTCCTTGGCGGAGGAGTTCGAGAAGGCAACCCTGCTCGACTTCGACCTCACCCTTCCTATCCAGATGGTGTAGGGATTAGACAAAGAGGGGGAGTGTCTCTGATTTGGGGTTAGGGACTAGAGAGAGATAGAAGAAGTGGTTATGATTTGGGGGTGGGCTCGAGTAAGGAGAAGGGGTGGGGAAGACGAACTGGGTTTTTTTTAATTATTTTATTTTAAACTTTTCTACTCAGGTCGAGGGTCGATTTCGGCTCCAATGTCATCCTCCGTCACCCACATGGGTTGTGCGCCACCAACAACACCGCCGTGGCAGACAACGCTGCACATGAGAGAGAGAAGAGGGAGAGAAGGTGGTGGAGGAAGGTTAGGGGGGACGGGTGGGAAAGGCTTCTGGGTTTTGGGATTTTGGGGATGCAAGTGCCCAAAGAGAGAGAAGAGAGAGAGAGAGAGAGAGAGAGAGAGAGAGAGAGAGAGAGAAAGAGAGAGAGAGAGAGAGAGAGTGGTGAAAGAAGGTTGGGGGGATGGGTAGGAAGGGTTTCTGAGTTTTGGGATTTTGGGGATATAGGTGCCCAGAGAGAGAGAGAAGAGAAATAGGCGAGAGAGAGAGAGAAGAGATAGGGTGGATCCCACAATTTTATATGAAAAAATAATTTTATTTTTAATTTTTTAATATTTAATTATGAAAAATATATTTAATTATTTTTAATCCAATTGGATTAGTGAGTGGACTCGTCTTTAGTCATGTTAGCACTTAACAGAGAAATTAACAAAAAAACTGACGGAGGTTTGACATTGGAACAAATTCGTAAGATGATGTATGATATTGTCATTTTTAAAATGAGGTATGATAGTATCGTTTGACCCATAATTGAGGTAATTTTGTGTAATTCACCCTCGATTTTTTTAAGCTTGCTCCGGCTCGGCTCGCATAAGAACCAAGCTAAGCTTAACTCGAGCTCGAAAAAAACTTAATCAAACTAAACTTGAGTACAATGATATTTTATTTGGCTCAGCTCGTTTACAGCTCTATTTTGAAAATAATACAATGACATTTTTATGTGGTGTACAGGGAGCAATATTTTTTAATTATTATTATTTTTGGAATACATACGAGATTTTTAGAACACATACGAGATTATTAGAACACATACGAGATTATCTATATTAAGTGGTGGATGAGTGCACTAAGCCTCACAATGAACTAACCACAATAATTTGATTTGAATTCACCTTTGGCGAGAATTATACTTAAATATTTTCACTTACAAATAAAGATGAAGATCATTGTACCGTAGTACTAAGTGACAATTATTTTTAATTCTTGAAGTTTGTGTGATAATGAAAGTCCGTCGGGATCCAAACTTTTGGAAATTAAGGGAAGAGATAGTAGTGGTGCTCAGTGGCGGATCCAGGAATCTTACCCCAAGGGGTCGCAGTGTAAAAGTTCAAATAAAAATTTAGGATGGAAAAACATATTGAGAATGAAATCATAGTACTTTCATTCATAATTCATAATGGAAACAATATTACAAACTATAATTGTCCACGACGAGGTTTTCATATTTTTGAAAACGAAGCATTATAGCTTCATTTTCAATACAAGCAAAAATATCTCTCTCAATATAAACAAGCAAGCTATCACTCAACCATTGATCTCCCATTTTGTTCCTAAGTGGACCCTTAACAATATTCATGACAGAAAATGCTCTCTCCACTGAAGCAGTTGCAACTGGTAAAACTAAAGACAATGTAATGAGCAAATATACATAATTGAATACTTGATGCATCATTGTCTCCACCATTTTTTTTGCAAGATCACCAATCCCTTCCAATTGAGAGAAATCACTACTGGAACACACATAATGAATATAAATCTCTCAAGTTGATCTTCAAGTGCCAAACGATCTTCATCCGAAAAGTCTTGAGGATAAAATTGAGCAAGACGAAGTAACTTTGGTTTATCAAAAGCTACAAATGAATCTTTCGGACTCAAACATGCCATACAAATAAGCAACTCGGTATTTACCTCATTAAAGCGATCCTCTAACTCCGTAATTTTCTCATCAATGACATAAATAAAGAGCTCCACACGATAATGATGACGATTTGTCTTTATTGGAGCATAACGCCTTGACCTCCCTGGAAGTATAAATGCCTCTTCCATGTTAGGAACATCAATATGATGTTTTTCACAAAAAAGAAGATACTTCATCAACCAATGCATCGAACCCATTATTCCTCATCCAATATAGCTTTTCCTTGCATGATTTCACTAAAGCCATTACATTCACAATTTCTTGATCTTTCCTTTGCAATGCTTGTGACAAATCATTTGCGAGTCCCAATATGACTTTCATCAAGAAAAGGTGAAACACAAACTCAAAAGTAAGTATCACTCTCATTAACGTATTTGCTTCACCCGCACTTTCATTGGGATTATCATCAATAACCATTTGAAGCACATGAACCACGGATGAAAACATAGAAATGATGCTAATCAAGGTACCATAGTGTGAGTTCCATCGTGTGTCACCGGCACGTTTGAGACTTGTTTCTTGATTTAAGCCTCGCCCCGTTATAAGACAATCATTTTCAAAAGCTATCACAAGCTCTTCTTGAAGTTGCCCTCTAAGTGAATCACGCCGCTTACAAAAGATGCTCCAACATGATTAACCACATTATTAGCCGTTGCAAAAAAAGAGGCAATGTCTATATTATTCTTTGCTACGGCAACAAGAGCTAGTTGAAGTTGATGAGCAAAAGCAATGAACATAATATGCACAAGGTTGTTCTCTCAATATCTTTGTTTTAAGGCCATTCAACTCACCTCTCATATTGCTAGCACCATCATAACCTTGTCCTCGTAGCTTGGAAATGCTCAAACCGTAGCGAGAAAACAATGTGTCAATAGCATCCTTTAGTGAACTTGAAGTAGTGTCGGTAACATGTTGGATACCCACAAATCTTTCAATTACATGCCCGTTGTCATCCACATAACGCAACACCATAGCCATTTGCTCTTTCACAGACACATCACGTGCTTCATCCACCAATATTGAAAAGAATTTATCTTTTAGACCATCCATGATAGCATCAAGTGTTTCAAGGGCACATGAATTCACAATTTCTTTTTGAATGGAAGGAGCTAGTAATTTGAGATTCCCCGGAGCATTTTCCATCACAACTTCTCTAACTTTATCATTATTATCTGCAAGGAATTGCAATAACTCCAAGTAATTTCCCCTATTGCTTGAAGTGGCACTTTCATCATGGCCACGAAAAGGAAGACCTTGTCGCAATAAAAAACTTAGTGCACTTGATTGAAGCAATCAAGCATGTGCGATAAGCCTTACGAGTTTGGTCAGAGTGTTTGCTCACTGCCGTTTCAATATGTGTAGCTTGATTCATCAAATTTGTAGCAGCTTCTCTAGCCTTATTATGAACACTCCCAACCGGTCCAACATGCATCTTAAATCTTTCTCTCCCTTTCTTCCAATTCTTAAATCCATCTCCAGTGAAAGCTTCACTACCCACTTGTTCAAAATTGGTTTTAAAGAGATAGCAATAGAGACAAAATGCCGCATCTTTAGATACACTATACTCCAACCAATCAAACTCATCAAACCATTGGGGAATGAAGCGTCGATTAATTCCCGACATATTAGTTATTGGGAAATTATGACCTCTAGGTTGACAAGGTCCTTTTTGTAGATATAATCTTCGGACCTCATCTCTCATATTAGCGTCATAATCTATTATTCGAGTTCTTAATCCAGGATCCGCTTGAAGATTACCCAAAACATCATCATCTAACTGACTTTGTCTTGAACTTGGAGTTCTTGAACTACCAACAGTATTTGAACTATCAACATTATTCGAACTACCCGAACCCGATGATGACTTTCTCTTAAAAAACCGTTCCATAATAATGCTTGCTACATATACAAAATATTCAAAATAAATACTCACAATATAAACAAACCATAAACATAATCAAAATAAATATGAATTGGATTTTCAATTAAATTAAATATCTCATCTTGCATTCTAATTTCTACATATACAAAATAATGAAAATAAAAACTCACAATATAAACAAACCATCAATATAATCAAAATAAATATGAATTGAATTTCAATTAAATTAAATATATTCTACATATACAAAATATTCAAAATAAATACTCACAATATAAACAAACCATAAACATAATCAAAATAAATATGAATTGGATTTTCAATTAAATTAAATATCTCATCTTGCATTCTACATATACAAAATAATGAAAATAAAAAATCACAATATAAACAAACCATCAATAAAAACAAACCAATAAAAACTCACAATATAAACAAATC